TGAGTGTATATTCGCTAATTTCGTGCAATTTCGGTTTCAGTCAGAACACAAGGTTGACGGAAACTCGGGAACTGCACCTACCTGATGAGCCCCAAGAAGGGCGATACCGTCGTGGGCTGTCGACGGATTTTCAGCAACCTTATGAGTAGTACATTACAAATATAGCATTTCACATAAGTTTAAACCTTCAGTACATGTTGTATATTCCTGGGGCTAGGTCTCTTGAAAACGTTCACTTGATTAAATCAGGCCGACAACTGAGCTAAAGAACACACTATGTTTGAAGACAGGGAAACCTGACGCATTTGGGTCTGACACTGACTGATATCCCGTATTCCACTACATCAAGAAGAGAAGCAACTGAACGGACAAAAATAGTCCGCTCTCGAAGTTTGGAATGCGGCGCGCTGGACCGATATTGTGTTCTCGTGTGCACGCATCTCTCTGGGTGTAACAGGATATCACACTGAATCACGATGCACACAGCGGGGGGGGGGGACAAACTACATGTGGATCAAATTTTGTGCCGACTGCAAATCGATAGGTGCATTTCCAATGTGCCGTTTCGTTTCGCTCGGATTTCATGATACTGTGTGTCACCTCAGCTGCGCAAGTCCCCGCTCATTGACTTCCGTCCACGACAAAATGCCCGGATGACCTATCACCATAGGGACTAATGCGTTGTGGGGTTCGCCATAATTTCAATCGTCTATCCAAACTGCCTCTTTTCGGATCGTGGTGTATCGCCTGAACTCGAGTGCTGTTACGGTCACCAAACTCAGTGCCGTGAAGATCCCAGCGCTAAGTGCACGGCGATCTTAAAAAAAAACATTCTGAGTCTCTAGGGGAACGCCTTCATCAATGGTTCCGGTTCTTGAGGTTCCTCAGTGTGTCCACAACAAAGAGATGATGAAATTAAAAGTTCGGTCGGTACGATCGCCAAACAGAGACAGCTTGGTAAACGTGTGACAACTATCCCTGGGCTCGCAGGGTTAGCGAGTTCAGGATAAAACGATTATCGTACGTCAAAGGCTTTCTAAGGATTAATCTCCAACCTTACTGCACTAAGAGCAGACGTCCCAGCTTGAAGTTTCAAGGAAAGTCAAAAGATGATTCAAACATAACAAGCATACTTTCTAGGGGGCTAAAATTAAGGAAATTCTCAAAGTAGGAAGTTGAAGACCTTCATACTGAATGAGACGTAAGGTTATCCGATGTTTCTTCAGACGATAAAGGTCGGTGAACGGACTTTTTGGGTTCTATTCGTGGTTTTCTACTAACTATCTTTGCTTAGGGGTTTTAATGGAGATAACTTTCAGTGACTTGTGTTAGCAAAGTATACATCGTTCATCCCTACGTCGAATAAAACTGAAACTGTTCAGAATGAAAAGCCCTTGCTACGTGGAGACGCTGCTATGAGTTAGTACGGTGTTGAAGTTTCCACCAACGTTCCAGCGAACGCAAAACTTGTGAACGAACCCGAACAAAGCTGAGCGTAGCTCATGGTAAGCTCTGAAAAACAGAACCCAACCAGAAACCTCGTTTCGAATACTCTAGAGGGGTTAAGTTCGAAAACCCGATGGCGAAACTCGTTTGCACAGCTAAAGGACATTCAAAGCACTGGTTTACACTTTACACGGTAAATATGCTATGAGTGCAGAAACCCTAGGACTGGTCCAGTACCCCGAGGTTTTGTTCAAAACATTGGCTGTCACGTGGAGTTAGGAGTGTTGGTAAGTAATCAGTTGGCTATTGATCTATTCGTCGAACTTGGACTTGAAGGGGTTTTTACCACCAATCAGGAGACACTATAAGTGTGCTCATATAGTGTTCAAAGAGCAGCTTTAAGCTGCAACCTGATTGGCTATTAATAATCGTGTCGACCGAAGTCTTACTGGTACGATCGTGATTTATGTTGCGTTGTGATCCGTATTTTTCACCCTCATCAAAATACCATAAGGTAAGCCACTTAGCTTGCCTCACGTTAGGACATTAGTATCCTAAAATGTGTTGAGCGTGAAATTCACCAAATTATTGTGAAATTTCACAGCGGAAATATTATTACATTCAAGTAATCCACAATATTTTTCAATTGGCATGTCCTCCTGCAAATGAAGCTAATCTACGCTGTGAAGCCGTCGCTTCCAGAAGCATTGTCTATCGTTCCTAGGCATAGGCATCGACGTCATATGGATCTTGCCGTTATTTTTATGTACGCTAAACCCGGTGCATTTTGAGGTGTCCTACATTTATTGTACTACCAGAGGTTGTGAATTCTCTGACTTACCACATGGATCTTAGGTGTGATTTCCATTTTTCACTTAGTAAGTGCGAATAAAACTGTCGTGCTAAATTTGCGTGCCCGAATCAGTTCATTTCCACTCAGTTGAAACAAAGTTTGGGGAACCGGGGCTGACGTTCCAGTGCGTTAGAAGGTTTTCAGGCGGGATCCACGCACGAAAACCGCTTTACCACTCGCAGCTAGCCACTGCTACTGTCAGGATGCCTAGCCCGCGCATGATTGGCCAGAAGAACGTACTTGCAAATCCTGCATCGAGGTGAGCTGTGATTGGCTGGAAGTATGAACCAATAGCAAACCCACCGAATGCCGGTTACCACTGTCGCTGCAAACAAGTTAAATGCGACACAGTGTTTCTGATCTGGTTTTGGGTATTTCATACACGTTTTGCATGTTTGATGTTTCCTTCACCGTAAACACTAGCTTGGAAATTTAAGACAGAGAGCTGAGCCGCTATCATGAAGACCAATTCGTTTCGACCCTGATTTTGTTTTGGTAAATAGCAGTCCTATTTTGTCCAGTGCTTTCCAGTTCTATCGTGAATTCAAGTAGGTAAATCTTTGTTCACCAATAGCTCCGGAATGTCCTGAAAGCCTTTTCAAGCTCCACCACTTCCTAGCCCTTCTTGGACAACATACAGTGAAAACTACTCCGCCATGAACTTGCTGCCCAAATGGGATCCAAACCCGACCGATTATAGAATAAGTACCAACTGCATTTGGCTGGGGTGTTGACTTCACACGTGCTGCTCGTGCCTGGTGAGGCGTGTAAGAGTCTGGTGTTGCTCTGAAATTGGTATGACGTGACTGAACATGATTTCATACTGCGTAACCATCGCCATTTGGCCGGTGCATCGACCATCGAATCCATGTGCTGGCAGTTTCACTGACCTCAGCTCCGTGTAAGTGTCCTTCCTCAGAATACCACGTCACACGAGTTACGAACAGCGGCTTGCAGACGAACTAACCACTAGTAAGTGGGCTAGCAGTTGACGCGCATCAGCCGGGTTATGCAAGAGCATGTGTGGGCGCAGCGCTCTGCTCGGTCCTATGTTATTCATTCGACAAAACAAAGTGAAAATGCAGTAGGGAAACCTTCCTAAGTCACGAACCTTGTAGCTTGACTGATGTGACATATAAAGTTCGGAGTCTGGCTCGTTCCTGATCGGTTCACCGCCAAATTTTCGAAGGGGCCTGTTCTACGTCTGTCCAGTTGGCAGTGAATGTCATGGGACTTTCCATATCAATTGAGGTTTCTCAAGTCCTTTCACACTTCGTTCGCAACTTTAGGAGACAGTACGGGTGCAATGCTACTCGATATAATATACAAATGCGACCGTCTTTCACCACCAAAAGTCAAAGATCCTTTGAAAAGGTTAGATATAAAGGAATATGGTGCTTCGAGTGCAGAGTCAGCAGTCTTCCAATGCCTACAAGGCTGTCAACTTACTGGAGACTCGAAATAAAACGCCTTCCCACGCACAACAACCGCTCTATCCTCCTTTTCTTGCATTACGGATCAAGGGATTTGTGTAGTAAGCCGTTTTGTTTCAATCTTTCGTCATACAATACTAGCCAGTCCGGATTTCCGTAGTCCATCTGACAGTGCTCCCCGATATTTCAGCATAGATTGGCTTCACTTGCAGGATGAAATATCAATACAAGTCGGCAAAATCTGATCGCACCACCATTAATCTCTCAGAGAGAAAGAGAGCAATTCTACAAGTCGAGTGAAACATCCATCTGAGAAAAAAATCGTTCAGCTGTAGCACTCTTTCGGTGCCTAGCTACCACGCCACCCGAAGGTTGCACAAGGGCTGGGATACTGCCAGGTCGCCCGAGCCTGGACAGGGGAAATCGGGTTCGAACCACGGACCTTCCGGTCAGTGAAATCGCGCTCTAACCACTTGGGCCATCTCGCCTCATTCATCTGAGAAGTCGTTGCCCGAGAAGCCAGTCAATACGCGACCACATGATGTGGCGTCCGTGACTAAGGAGGATGAGTGGCATTGTATCCCCCCAAAGTTCGAGCTAATCAGCTGCTCGTGGCCGAACAGTGGCCCCGAGGTCACCGGTTCGAAACTCCCTGGGGTTTCGTGAAACGCACGAGACAATTTTCCGCATCATCCAATAATATTTGCCTATCATCCAAACACCTACTTGTAGTTAACCGATGACACTACCCCCCGTGCCTAGCACACGTGGAGCGAGCATTCTGAAAAGCTAGAACGATTTATGTAAAAGATAACCAGTCCACTGTAACATCCTTTTGGTGCCTAGCTGCCATGCCACGCGAAGGAAGTACGAGTGCTGGGATACTGCCAAATTGCCCAAGCCTAGACAGAGGAAGTCGAGAGGCAGAGGTCGGATTCGAACCACAGACCTTTCGGTCTGAAAATCCGCGCTCTAATCACTTGAACCATCTGGCTCACAACGATTTATGTACTTTAGGATAGCCCAATGGTCGGATCTACTCTCAGAATGCTGACTGCCCCTTGCTGGTCTGACAGTATCCAACTGTCATGATGCCTTCAAGTGCGATGGAAGCCAGGTACGGAAATTATGTTACAAGTGAACGTGCTACTGATCGGCCACTAGAGGGCGAACGGCGCAGTGACCAAATAGCGAACACAGGACTACGGTTTCAGACCTTTGTTAAGAGATAAAGAGAGATTCGACAAATACTCTTATTTGGTGTTGACAGGAGACTTAAGTTAATCCAACTGAATCTCCCGTTTATGGCGGTCCGCTTCAACCGAATGTGTTGGACCAGGCCACTTCATATTTCGGTTGATTCGAGACACCGTTGTTGTCCAGATGTAAACAACTACTCTTCCACAGCCCACCAGCGACTTTATGAGTCTCTGTAACAGGAACCGTCCAGTTGTTGTCTTTTAGTGCATGCATAAACAACTACTCTTCCACAGCCCACCAGCGACTTTATGAGTCTCTGTAACAGGAACCGTCCAGTTGTTGTGTCTTTTCAGTGCATGCATCTCGGAGGAAGCGCAAGCTACGCGCCGCTGATGGTCTCCCACACACAGTAATTCTCAAGTTTACAATGACCCAGCATTCCATCATGAAACAATCGATCGGGAGAATGGACAGTCTATAAGAAGTAAACAAGACAAAATCGATCCACGTGTCGACAGAATGCGACATTGAGTAGAAATTCCTAAATTTGTTGATAATCAGCGAAGCCTTGGGAAAGGTGCTCGACAATACTGGCAAATACACCAGTGTCAGAAACAAGCAAAATAAAACAGACACTTCAAAGACGATCCTGATCGATCCAGGAGAGGATAAGTTTCTCTTCTATGTCACGAACGTTTCTTACAGACGGAGGGTCTGCGGGATCTGGCATCCTAGAAGCAAGGGGAAAACACATGTGGATGTAGAATCAAATAAGCGATTGTTACGGAACGGCTCAGCATAACAGACCAAAACAAATTCTACCCACGTGGCCGTTCCGTATTAACATACCGATCAATACATACAGTTGTTCACAATTTGTGTGTTGAACGCCCTACCAACATCAACCTGGTAAAATACATGTACTGGGTCACTCCGCACAGCCCTAGCTAGATTTTGCATCTCTCTAACTGATGCCCCCGGATTGTTTTTGCTCCCACCGAACTGATTTGTTTCGTTTTTCTTACACTGGACGGTTGGCATCCCCACGATCACACGAAACAGTCGTTCGGCGGCTGGGCTAGACCTCGAGGTAGATTTACACAAACCTAAAACGTACGGGAATTCGGAGACGTTACGTGTACAGCTGCTGTGCCTAAATCCTGTTGGCTATAGCGATTTCACCGTTTCCCAATCACTAGCAAGGCTGGTTATGAGTCGCTCAGCCTGGTAAACCTCATTTCTGATTCATACCGTATTGGCACAACTCGGTAAAAGTGTACGATATGGACCTATCCTGTCAACAGTGTGTCGGAACATCGGTTGAACGGTTTGACAAACTCTGTGGGACCAGTCCACTGAAGTCCTTCAACCTGGTCGGGGCCAGATAAATTGCGGACCTTGAACGAGATTGGAATATACTACACAAAAGAATGTACGCTTTCTAATCAAGACCTCATCTCACCCTACTGCGTGGACACAACGTGAAGAAAAATACAGCCCGATGCAAGTGTACAGAATGAAACTGTGGGTGTTTTCGCGCGTTCGCCATTCGTGGGTCACGCCAATGAGTGCGCGAGTTTTTGTCTTTAAAAGACAATCTGGAAGCTCGGCGTTAGAGCGAAACACTCAAGATGGCCAGGCTTCGTCGACTCAGCTGACCACATCGGGCGTCGCTTCTCTCCCAGAATGAGTAAAATTTGTTCTCACGCTCAGCGATCAAGATAAACACATTTTTGCCGAGTGTACTGCAACGACGTGGCCTCGAATGAACCGGGTGATCCAAATTCTAATGAGGAACGGACTAGGTACATTTTTTTCGCAAATAGTGCGGGTCAGATGTGCACTTCCAGTATTTGTTGTTGAGTAAAAAAAAGCACAGTCTGTGGAATGTTATTACCACATTTATCTGATCAGTTCAAAGATAAGACTCAGATGAATTTGGCCTCATTTAAACCATTGGGATGGTGAAATATGAGCTGATGAGAACTGATTACGTAACGAATGTGACGAAAGAACTTGGTGTCAAGAGACCTTATTCACTCGTGTGTTCCACATGGCCCAACTTACCGTAGATCAAGATGATGTGCGCCTCCGTGTATGATCAAAGCTCGCACGCTGGGAGACAGATCTTCAAGAATCTATGGAATATCACAATAAATGTATGCTGGGAGACAGATCTTCAAGAATCTATGGGGATTAGGTCAACAGGAATATCACAATAAATGTAGCATCACAAGCGGTGATCGATAGCCAATCGGATTCCAAAAAGTTTGCACCGGGAGTCAAACCCGAGGACTGATCTAATCTAGGCCTTTGGCCCGCTCAAACATATGTAAGGATAGTATCACGTGTTCAGTTATATTCTTACTCGACGCCATGGAAGAAAAATAAGTGGGAACAGCTCGAGTCTAAACCGACTTCGGTGTCATAGGTACTCATCGGTGAGGTGGATTTAGTCGCACATCGAAGGTAAGTGAACAGAGATCATGAAAGCCTTTGGAGCGTCACAACAGATGACTGGTTCATTACACCTCGAAGTTCGGAGCTAGTGGTCATACACTCAGCGCTGCTCCCATTCTACTAGGTTTGGGGACTTGAAATCACTTTAGAATACCGCTCAAGCCAAATCCGGGAACCGACCGCGCGGCTAAACATTTGGTTCACAATCGAATTCGGTACAATAGCTTGAAGCGATCAGTGCATTTGACATGAGTTTGAATGAAAGACACCAACTCAGTAACGAACGAACAAATAAACCAATAATCCTGTCAACTACAAAGAAGTTACGCTTTGTAGTAATGCATCAGAATCAAGAGGAGACCTCTAGAGCGTTACCTCAGAGAGACACAACTCGCCAATGGAAAACCAATGAAATGGTCAGTGATGTGGTATCACAGTTGTATGAGCCAGATAAACCAGGTGTTCTCTCGAGTAGGATTGCAGCCTCCCGTCCAGAAACTTGGTGCATCAGAGAGACCGAAACCACCGACCGCAATCCTCGATCGCCAGTCACCTAATTCATTCTGGTCACGTGATGTGTTCAAACTACTAGCCGGGAGGTCGCGGGTTCGAGACTCTTCGGAGTTTGGTGAGATGCGCACTGCTGATGATTCCTAATAAGGATGAAACAGCTGTACAGTGCTTCTCGGCTTTTCAGCATAGATTGGCTTCACTTACAGGACGAAATCTCCACACATAAAATGGCTGGTATCAATTCTTCCCCTTAAAGTGATCGCGATAACCTGCCAGATCATGTTTCTCGCCGGTATGAACATAACCAGACGAAAGTCGAGTTTGCGTGTTGAAAAAGACTTGATTAGACCTTTGCGTTTACCAAGGTTCTCGAAAACGCGTCCGACCAGACACAAAGTGCACTCAGATCTCATCTGCAAAGAACTGACCAGTTGAAGCACGTCATTTGACGTGGTTTATCAGTCTTACGACGATGTTTACTTGCCAGGACCCATGGCCCCCACACCTAATTCGCAAAAAATATGGTTCTTGGCCAAGACCATTTCCGCATTTCAACAGCCCAGTCAAAACTAACCTCGGAACACGTCCAGATTGCCACGCACACATTCATCAGGGAGCCAAAACAGACACACACAATAGAGAGCCCGTCGTCCAATAGAAGCCTTTATCATGGGATCCCATCGAAAGCAATATTTGTCATCTTTGTGACCAGGCGAAAAAGTGCAAAGTTTGAGTTACAGTCCAACTTTTTTTTACCTCTGGCAAAATTTTGTATCGATTAGAGATCAGCAGGCCGATAAAACCACTTACTCCACCGCGCATCCAAGGATCAAGGTCACCGTTTGAAAATACGATATTGCTCGTCCATTTCCATCCTGAATAGAAAATTGGAGAAAGGTCGATTAT